CTACTAAAAATTGGATTTTGTGTGTCTGCTCCCAGCGAGTAGGTGGCTGTTGTCAGGATTTCAGTTGTTTGAGGATGTCCCCAGCAAATAAGGTTTTATGCAGACATCTTCATGTGTTTCCTGGCGATTCTTCTTTTGCTGTTTGTAAATATTTCAGCCGCTCTTAAATTATTTACTCATGAAGTGGCTTGGCTGGAAGAAGGAATCGCGCTTAAAACACATCCGAAGGCTCAAAGCACTGCAAGTCCGAAGGAATACGAGAAAAGGATTCGGGAAAGGATGTTTGTGCTGCAACGAGCCCTTCAGGACAGCAAGCTGGGGGCAGGATGGTTAACATGTTAAAAATCCTTGCTAAAAGCAGCCCTGGGGCTGGGGTGCAGGGGATGGCTCCAGCGCTGCATTCCTCACTTGGCACCGCGCTTTGGGGGTGCCCAGGGCATCGCTGGGGTTTGGAGGATGCCACCCACACGTCAGCCCACGTGCAGCTCCAGCAGGTTCTCCATTGTGTTGGTGCTGCTGAGCGGAACTCGAGGTAATCCTACAGCGATGGCACGCATCCAAAGCCATAAAAACAACGACACAGAAATACCTCTTCGCCAGTTTATTAGGAACCTGTGACTTCGGCGTAATAATTATTCGATTCAGGGCTGCAGCTAACGGTAATTGCACGTTAAATCTGGGTCTTACATGCAGCCGTGCCGTGAGCAGTGTGCCCATCGCTGCAGCATGCTGGAAACTTGCTCTGTTCGTGCTGGAGACCTGCTCTGTTACTCCCCTGCCTCTGGATCCAGCACCGAACGGCGAAGGTTAAGATGCAGCTCACGCAAGGAGTGGCGTTTCCTTTTTCTGCTGAAGGAGTAGCGTGTGGGAAGGATGCACACTTTTATAGTGCCTCTATTCAGGGAGCTCAGAATGTCACTGGGCTGTTAATTAATTAGAGCCTGCCAACACCTTCACGAGCGAAGGTGGTGGTTTTTTAGCACTGAGAGCCGAGAGCCTGGAGCTGCTGCATGGAGAAGGAAGGAAGGGAAACCTCCTCGGTGCTTTGCAAACGGAGCTCGGAGCCCTGGAGGTGTGAACATCCCGCGGGTGGGGAAACCAAGGTAGAGTGAGGGCAAACGGCTGCGGCAAGTCAAGGAGAGCTCAATGCAGGAGCTCAGACCAGAGCCACGGCCCTGAGAGGGCTGTGCCCGTGCCTGCTGCTGGTGGCGATGCCCGGTCAAACCCAGGGCCTCCTAGCAAGGCCGAGCATCCCGGCTCGGGGCTGCATCCACCCTTGTTCATCCCTTTTTATTCTGCAAAAGCTCTCGGTAAGGTGTTTTTGAAGGTTACCTTCAAAAGCAAAACGCACGCTTGGCAAAACGGAATAAAGGCTCCAAGTACCTGGCGCTGGCCAGGAGCCAGGGCAGCGCTCCCTAATCTTTTCCTCCAGTCCTCGTCGTCTTTGATGTCTTCCCAGATCTGGAAGGCAGAGGCTCCGTTACCGCTTTCCCTTTCTGGCTGGGGATTGTGCTCGCCTCCTCCAAGCTGGCTGCCGTCGGGACAACAAAGTGTCTTTTGAATTAAGCCTGGGGTTTTCATAGTCTGGTACATCATCATGTCAAACCCGACGCTGCGCTCGCTGCCGGGTTTTAATGCTGCTGTCTGCTTCTCCTCTGCTTCCCCGCCAAAGGGCATTTAGGGCGCATCGGGGTTGTGTCAGACACTCACAGCAGAGCGGGTCTTTGTTCTGGGGAGGGGACAACACGTGATGCTTCTCCCCCGATATGGGCACCATCCCTTCCCAAAAATCCCCTGGGAGGGTTGGGGGATGCAGGGCAGCCTTCCTTTGGGGAGATCTCTTTGGTACCAACCCCACGGTGCTGTACCAGGTGCCTGGGTCTGATTATTTTGTAGGTTTCCACGTTTCAGCAGCTGCCAGTAGCAGGAGGAGCTCCCCCACCAGTGTCCCCCCCAGCCTGACGACAGAAAGCTCTTTTTGCCTGCGTTATTTTGGATTACTGCAGCATTTCTCGCTCTCCCAGGGAATGTGGAGCCAGTGCTCTGTGGTGCCATTGAGCTTGGCTGCTGGAAATTAGTCGCCCCCAGGTTTTGACCTGAATTTGTGCAATACTGACCTGCAAAAGAGGAAGAGGGGGGGAAAAAAAAGGCACCGTGAAGTTAGCTGGTGTGTTTTTGGAAAGTGGATAGCTCCCCAAGCGTGAGGGACTCTGTGTGCAAACAGCCTTGCCAGAGGAAAGAAAACTCATTTTTGTAGCCGGTGCCATTGCCAAGATCAACCCAGAGTCAGCTGCGCTGTGCAGCCAGGCTGTTCGGGTTCACAGCTCCCGGGCCTGTCCCATCCATCTCTGCCTTCACCTCCCGTTGGGCTCCCGTAAGTACCAGGGACGTTCCCAAGGAGCTGCTCCACAGCGTGGCGATGGCCGGAGCCTCTTTGATGGACACCTGCGGTCCTTCGATAAAGGGCTAACAAAAAGCGAGGCTTTTGCCAATATACGCAGCTCCTCTTCCCAACTTCTGTTTTTTCCTTCTTTGCCATGGCTGGTTTCCTCTAAAGGTAACATGCAGCCAAAATCTTCCCCCTCCTGCCCATGTGCTGTGTTCCTTTGTCCCCTCGTGAAGCATGGCCACAACACCAAGCTCAGGAAACCTGCTTCGGCACAGCCCTATCTCAGCTGCAGCACAAAACAAGCTTTGAAAATTTGTTTTGATGTGTTTGACAAACTGCAGAGCAGGTGCCGCGTTGGCTCAAGGCAGGTTTTCGTGGCTCGCTCTGGCTGGGAGAAGCCCAAGTGCCTGAATCACTGAGGTTCCACTCGAATAATTGAGATGGGAATTGGGCTCGTTATCTGAAGTGGGTGCTGGAGTGGCTAATCGTGGATCGCGAGGTGTTTGTCCTATTTGCTGGCTTAGATTGAAGAAAATTGAGGTGCAATTTCGCAGATGTGTAGGTGCAGAATAACTTCCATGGGGATACTCTAGATGTCTTGATGGGGCAACAAAGCTGAATAACTATTTCTGTGATTCGTGTTGGAGGAAAACAAACAGTCGAGGCATGGTGTGGTATTAAGCAGCAAGTCTGGCTGGCTGCTGCTCAGGGAGGTCCTGGTACTTTTAGGAGATGGGGACTGTTATTTCTTGAAAAGTCTACCCGTAATTCATGGGCTTCATAGAAAACTGCCCTATAACCTGCTGCCAGTAAAGGACAGCGACAGCCATCAGGGAAACTTCTACAGTACTTCTGCATGTGGGAGACCCCATGGGTTGTGTTTCCAAAAGCACTTTGAGGGCTTCACTGTGGTCAAATCTTAGCAGGCCACTTACAGATTAATACATGAATCTTCATGCAGTCCCCAAGTTTTAAATGCGGTTCAGTGCAGGCACCTGCTGAAAAGCTGTCCGCCTGGGAAGCCATTCCCAGTCCTCAAAACTGTGTGTGGTGTAAGTGTTTGATGACCTTAAATCCTCGTGCTGATGTGGAGCAGTAGTCCTTGGGCCTTCTTGGAGTGATTTGAGCTTTGTTTTGGTCTGATTTTCTTGGGTTGGGGGCCTGGCCTCTCCCCTCTGTGCAGTGCCCCGAATATGGCTCTTCTCAGGCAATAACAAACAGCAACGCTTGCGTAAAGCCCCTGATGCTTTATGTGCTACTTCAGAAAATAATCCTCGTTTATAATTCACACTTGGCAGCGAAAGTCTTTAAATTATTAAGGCACCAAATATTTTGCAATGAAGAAGCGGAGAGAAAGCTCGTGTCAGAAACAAATTGCCGGGGAGGTTGTTCTCTTTGGTGTGTTGGGTACTTTAAAATATTATGAGAAATGCTGTGCGGGGGGGCTGGAAAGGCACCACTTGCTCAAAAGATTTTTTTTTGGGGTGTGTGGTCTCCACAGCCCTGTGAAGAACGAGTGTCCCCAAAGCTTGTGGTGGGGCTGATGGTGGCCATTGTGTGGTGGGCAGGGCAGGTAGCTGTGGGTCAGGAGGGTCAGGAGGTGGAAGATGCTCAGCCCCAAGCACATGGAGCTCAAATCCCTCTGGCCTTGAGGGGATTTTGTTTTGTTTCTCAGTGAGCAGTGGTCGTACTTAGTGCATCGTGTAGGTATGCCCTGTATGTCCTTGTCATAAAGACATCCTGTTGGTAAACCTGAGGTGTTTCAGTGCTCTGAAATGCAGGATCTTGTAATTAGGGGGTTTGCCGCCTGTTGCTAATTTCCAGGGAATGGTTGAGGTTGGAAGGGACCTCTGGAGGTCCTGTGGCCCAGGACCCTGCTCAGGCAGGGCTGCTGAGAGCAGGTTGCACAGGATCGGGGCAATTATTTCATCCTCATGTTACAACACCAAGCATTGGCCAGCTCCTGGAGCTGTGTAACCAGACAACGACTGTCATTATATAAATATATATTTATTATAACGTGTACGATATGTACATGAAGGTGGTGAATGGACTGGAAGGCACGATGTCTGAGGAGCGCCTGAGGTGACGTGGTTTGCTCAGCCCAGAGGAGAGGAGGCTGAGGGGAGGCCTCATGGCGGCCTGCAGCTCCCTCACGAGGGGAGGCCTCATGGCGGCCTGCAGCTCCTTCATGAGGGGAGCGGAGGGGCAGGCACTGAGCTCTGCTCTCTGGGGACAGCGACAGGACCTGAGGGAACGGCATGGAGCTGGGACAGGGGAGGGTCAGGCTGGGGGATAGGGAAAGGTTCTGCACCCAGAGGTGCTCGGGCACTGGGACAGGCTCCCCAGGGATGTGGTCACAGCCCTGAGCCTGCCGGAGTTCAAGAAGCGTTTGGACAGTGCCCTCAAATTTAGGGGCTGATTTTGGGGTGGTTCTGTGTGGAGCCAGAAGAGCTGGACTCTGATCCTTGTGGGTCCCTTCCAACTCAGGTTACTCCATGCTTCTCTGTGTATATCCATGTATTAAAGCAGCTATACCCATCCCCTGGGTACGACCCAAGCCTTGCGTGCCCCCAGCGCGCTGACTTCAGCCTCTCTTTCCCTCTTTCAGGACAGCCATGCAACTGCAGCGCCGTGGGGAGCGTCGACGCGGGCTCCTGCCAGGGCACGCCAGGACCCTGCATCTGCCTGGAGGGCTACACGGGGCCGCGCTGCGAGAGCTGTGCCCAGGGCTTCCACCCCGACCCCAGCCGGCAGCGGTGCCTGCCCTGCGGCTGCAGCCCCGCCGGTGCCATCGGGCCCAGCTGCGATGAGTAAGTAGCTGAGCATCCCTGCTCCGGGCTGCTGTGGGGATCTGGGGGTGGTTTTTTGGGGGGGGATTTGGGGTGCCGAGAAGGCAAGAATGGATGGTGTCATCTGGTTGTAGTATATATGAAAAAAAAAAAAAGCAGGAAGGAAGTTAGCTTCACAAAAATTGATGAAGCGTGTTCTTCCTCTCTTTCAAGAGCTGGATTATAAAAATATCCGTAGCTATGGCAAAAGCCCTGGCAGCCCACAGAGGAGCCGAGGCACCATTTGGCCCTGAGTGTCAGCAGGACCTCTTCTCTGTCGCCTCATGCATCCCGCAGCCCCTGCTGCCTTCACAGCGGCCGCCCGGAGGGATGCGGAGGCTGGGCTGGCACGGGAGGCTCTGGGGAGGCTTTTTTCCGAAGGGAGATCAGTTGCAGCAGGGGCAGGCGCTGCGATCTGCCTTCGCTGAGTGTTGTGAAAGAAGCGTTGGCTCCCGCCCTGCCCGGCATTTAACCCAGCCTCGTCCGCGCCTTCTCTGCGTCAAGAAAGCTGCCGCAGATGCTCCTGAGCTGTCGTGTAATGAACATGTTCCTCTGCCGTGAGCTTCTGCTGCGCTGGCATCGGTCCTGTTGTCTTCTGGGGTTTGGTCTGGGCTCCCTGCGTGCTCAACACCTGCACGTTGCTGCCAAGGCTGGTGCTGAGTCAGAACCGCAATGTTCTGCAGGGGCATGCAGTTTGCAATAACTTCATGCGTTGTTTTTTTTTTTTTTTCCGAGCACCCAAGCCCTGTGTTGATGGCCCTCCTTTTTCTTTCAATGCTGCGTTTCTCTGGTGGCACGAGCTGTGAAAAGTCAGAACGTAAAAGCAGTGCTGCTGTTGGCTGCAGTGACCTTACTGAAAAACGGACTCTTGGGGGTGGAAAGAGTTTTCCACTTGCTTTTTTAGCAGTAGGAAAATATTCTTGGAGGAATCAGAGTTTGTCATGGAGTAGGAAACAAGCTTGGTGGGACCTGATGGAAAGGCAAATTGGGCAAGACAGCAGATTGGGGAAATCTCATCCGGGAGAGGCAGGAGCCCAGGGGCAGGGAGTGTTTCCATCCCGATCTGCGTCAGTGGGTGCCGTCCGCCCACGCCAGCGGGAAGCGCCCCAGGAGCTGCGGGTGGGCTGCTCTGAGGTGTCAAGGACAAGGAGCTGGTGCACGTGGTGAGCCCTCGTGCCCCATCCTGACATGAGAAGGCCCCAAAGTGGCAGAGAATGTCCCTAGCTCCTCCTATTCTTGCTGTATTGTTTTGCAGCCTTGAGGAACGTGGGGAGATGGATCCTCAGGTGTTTAGAAGAGGGGCAAAACTGGGAGAAAGTCTTGGGCAGGAGGAGAGAGGAGGACTGATGGTGGTATAGATTGCTCTGTGTTTCTCCTCCATGAGGTTGGCCGCAGGCTGAAATGACCTCTAGATATTTAAAGAGAGGAGAACTGGGTCAGCTGTCTGTGCTGCAGGGCTGGGGTGCTGCCCGCTGTGCCCACACTAAGTCATCAGCGCTCTTGTTCCCACAGCGGTAGGCACTGGTGACAGCCAGAGCAAAAAACAAGTTAAAAACAATAAAACAAAGTCAAGAATTAAAGAAATAAGGAGACAGGCATCCAGGAGAGGGGCTTGGGAGCTGGGCAGAGCAGATGCTGGGGACTGGGTGCGGTGATCTGCAGCACGAGGAGCGCACGGGGCAGCCCCTGCTCGGGATGGGGCACGCCAGCATGGCGCAGCGCCAGCAGCCAGCTCCTGCTTTGTTGATTTAAAAACAAAAAATCCTGACAGCTGTTCGCTTTTTTTTGTTGTTATTATAATATTTTAAAGTGCCAGCCAAACATTACCTTGCACAAGTTAATTCCTGCACGCTGGCTTAAGAAAAAAGTGCCTGCTCTTCAGAAGAGTCGCGGGGAGAAGCAGCAGCAGTGTGCTGGGCTCCGAGCAGCTCCGCCAGGGGCTGATTTCAGGGGCAGCCTGCCCGAAGGCTGAGCGCTCAGGGCACACAAAACATGCCCGATACGTCTCAGCCGGCTCGCTCAGGCTTGTGCAAAAGCGCCTTTTAAAGCACCACCATATGATAGTTATTATTATGATTTCCAGGCATGCTCTATCCTTGTGCCATCTGGCCAGCCAGATACACTGTTTATTAACTAGACCGCAAATGCAGACCATCAAATAAAAAAAAATAAATAAAAAAGAAATCCCTTTCCTGAGGCAGATCGTTGACTTTGGGAGTGAACATTGACCTGACACGCTGTCTCTGTGAATGGGCTCCAGAGCCACTAATCGAAGGTTGCTTTTTTTTTTTTTTTTTTTTTAAATTGATTTATTTATAATTTTTATTTGCTTCTCTGGGAGTCCCCCCTGGGAGGCGGAGGCTTTCCGTGCCGGTGAGTCAGTCGCGTTGGGTGGCTGCTCTCGCCCTGCGGCGTGGAGCCTGGCCCGGTGCCGTGCAGGGCTGACACATCCTGCAGAGCAGGAGCGAGCTGTCCCCGCTGCCGTGGCACCTGGGCTCCTCGCACAAAGCCTGTTGCGCTGGGCTGGGTGCTGTGCGGGTGCTCGCTGGAGGTATCCATGGCCTGGGAGTGTTCAGAGCCTGCAGGAAAGGAGAAGAAAAGCTGAAGTTTCAGGATCATGGAGCAGGAAAGTGAGGACAAGCATGGGCTGAGCACTAGGGGTTGTCTGAGCATCAGGACCAAAGCCCTGGCTGGGGGCAGGTGGTGATATCAGATGTCTTGTGGTGGCTCGGTGGGAAGTTTCTTCCTGCCACCAAGCAGCAATCCCACAGCACACGAGGAGCTGCACGGGCACAACTATTTCAGTCTGTGTTGAAATAGTTTTCCTGTGCAGACCTGTCCTCTGCCTGGCTTAATTAACAAAGCAGGATTATGTGTAACACCAAGCCTGCAAGAGGATGTCAAATGACTTTGCATTTTCTCCCTCTGTGGCAGCACCAGTCAGCCCCATGCCGGATTGCAGACAGGGCAGGGCCACCCCAAAAGCATCCCAGTGCCTTCCTGCACCCCATGGCAGGGAGGAGCAGTGGCGTTGCCCTCATTTACCTCCTACCAGGCATTTCTTCAAGGCTTTCATAGTGCAGGACGTAGGACTTGGCTTTTCTTCCTGGGGGCACGTGGGCAAGCATCCCTATGCAGCTGCTCTTGCGCCCCACGTTTTGGGATGTGATAATGGAGAAGGTGCTGTGAGGTGGTGCTGGCCTGCAGAAGGGCTCAGGGCTCCATTTCCCATTGCTGTTTCCCCTTTCTATGAAGTTGCCTCTTGTTTGTGTTCAGAGACATTGCTGGCTGATGCGAGAGGGGAGAAAATCACTTGGTGAGGCTTTGGGGTCTTGGGAATTTGTTGTGCTGTTATGGTTAGTTTTGCTCCATCTCAGGGGAGGCAATGGGATGCGCCTCATCCTCTGCTGCAGAACTGCCCGTGCTGCTCAGCACCGGGAGCTGTGGCTGCCGTGGGCTGGGTAAGGATTGTTGGTGGTTTGGCTAATGTGGGCTAACTGTCGACCTCGTGCTAGCATTGCCACTTCCCTTCAAAAATAAAAAAAAACTCTAAATGAGATGTGTGTAATGTACTATTGCTGTCCCTAATGAAAAGTTAAAAGGGGGTAGGTGTATGTCAAAATGGACTTTTGCAAATTTAACAAGTCGCTCCATCAGCCCGTGCCTCAGTTTCCCCACAAGCAGATGGGTGATGGGAAGCAGAAGCTGCGACGTGCTGCCTGGAGCTGACAGCAGCTTTGCTTTGTGCCCCGAGCTGAAACAGGCTGCTCCTCTGCCAGCTGAGCAGCCGCTCCTCGCAGCTCTGCAGCGTGGGGTCCGGCTTCAGCCTCGCTTCGTGCCGCAGGCTGGGCGTGAGGCATGTTTGAGGAGCTGCTGCCGCTCGCTTCCGTTCTAAAAAGAAAGCCAAAAAAAAAAAAAAAAGATAAAGCATGCATATAAATGCCAAAGCGTTAATTCAGAGATGTTTTGCCCCCTCGAGGGGATCTGCTGCTTTGTGTTCCTATTAAAAAGAATTAAAGCGGCGCGGCCCCGAGAGCATTTGTACATGGCTGTGCCCTGGAGCTGCGAGGCTGCAAGGGGGGCGCCGGTGGCGGGGCAGCATCCGTCCCTCTGTGCCTTCTTTGTGCTGTGCTGCTGACCCTCACTCACACGGATCTGTGAGAGCGTTGCTGAGGGGAGCAGGGTCAGCAGCACCGCACAATGCCCTCTGTGAGGGTCTTTGAATGAGGGCTGGGGGCTCTGGGGGAGCTGGGCAGGGAGAGCGGCTCGCTGGGCTTGCGGAGGTGTTTGGATGTGGGAAGATGCAAAGAAATCACAGGGGAAAAGGGAACAGGGAGCATTACTGGTCCTGCTGGTGTTGGGAAGGTCGTGGGCTGGACCCAGTGTGGGCAGCGTGCGGCGTGAAGCCACCCGGTGTGGGACCTGGGGGGGTTGTTTGACTGAAATGCAGAACCACCGAAATCCAAGGTTTTTGTGGAGCTTCCCTAGCCTGGGCAGGAAGGGGGCAGGCACACAGGGTTACCTGAGGGAAGGCAGTGGAGTTTTCATTTTGCATAAAGAAAATTCTCATTTTATGCCCTTCGTGTTGTCACTCTTGGAAATACCTTTTTTTGTTTGTTTATTTCTTTGGGGGTGGGAGATGTGGCTCCACACTGCTGTATCTGCCCCATAGACCACACCGGGCACTGCTCCCTTCAGAGACCGGGCCCTGGAACCCCAACTTCCCAAGGACTTCTGAAAAACCATCCCCATAAAAGCACATTTCCCCCTGTTCCAGAAAGACTGGGCTCTCTTTTATAGATCGCCTGAGCACAAGTGGTGGCTCATTATCTCCGAGCAATGCCTCGTCAGCAGCCCTCTGCCAAGAACAGATTTTTTTCGTAGCGGAAATTGTTACGTGTGGACGTCATAAATGCAGAGTACCCGGGCAGAGCATATTTTCCTGCATACTTTAATTGTCTAAATATCTCTTCTATTACAGACTCTCGTATCCTTTGCGTCTGCTTTAGCTCTCCTCCTCTCTTCCCCCCCAGGCAGGTAAATATTGTACCTGCACCCATTTTTATCAGGCTGCAGACGGGAGAGGGAAACGGATGAGCGATCGGGCACAGCGGCAGTGAGCGGCAGGCTGTTATCATCTCCCCTGCAGTAATTGGGGCTTCTCAGAAATCCTGGTATTTTGCTGATTTTCCAACAGGCTTCGCCGTTCCTCTCTTGCCTCTTGCAGACTTGCTGCTCTGGTCAGCATTGACTGCCCTCAAAAACAAAATACCGGCACGGCTTTACAAGCTCTGGTGGCTGAATTCTGGATTTGGGGAGGTGGTGCCCAGCCTGATTTCGGGCCATGCTTGTTGCTCGTGCCTTTTCCTATCCCATGCAGGGAGGTGTCAGTAGAGGTCTAGAGGATGGAGGGGCTCCGCTGTGCAAAACCAGTGTGCCCAGTGGAGACCAGCCCCTTCTCCCTGCCTTCCCCACTGGTGTGTCCTCCTCTGTGCCAGGTTGGCTGCCCCATGGCCGTATTGCCCTCATCTCCAGGGGATGCTCTGCACCCTATGGGGCCGGGATTTTGCACTTTGCCAGGCTTTCACTGCTCCTCCATAGGGGACCCCATCCAACCTCGCTCTCCGGGGCCATCGTGGTCTCCCCATTGCCACCAGGTCCCCGCGGGTGGGTGCCGGGGGCACTGGGGCAGGAGATGCCCGGCTTTCCCGTGACGCAGGACGTCCCCGACAGAGGGGGGAGGCGGCGGCGGCTGGACAAGGTGTCCCTTTGACATTTACAGAGCGGCCTTTCAGAGCTGTGAAGGGTCCCCGCTCTGTCGAGGGCGGCCATATAAACAGATGCCGTCCCCCGGCACAAAGCGAGGAATGCGGCGCACAATGGCCCAATGTTCGGCGCGATAAAGCCCCGCTTCTTCTGCCCGCCACAAAGGCGGCTCAGAGCCGGGCGCGGGGCTCGCTGCCTGCGGTAACGCTTCCACGAAAGCGTTTGGGCTTCCAGCAGCGGCGCGGGGAGCCGAGGGAGCGGGGAGGAGAAACCCGACCGTGTGCTGTTACGGGGCTTTTCCTGCTCGCCGCTTCCCCGCGTGTGAATATTCAAATGAATGGGCCGCACGGAAAACCAGCGCCTGCGTTAGAATGGTTCTCGGTTTGCTTAGGGCAGGTGTTAATGGCCTGGGCTTTCCCTGGACGTGTCGTTTGCAGGTGGTGAGGAGGACACAGGAGGACTCAGCCCCGGTGCTGCCAGGCACCGTGGAGAACCAGCACAAAAGGAGCCGCGCTCGCTGGAGGAACGCGCCGCGTTTGGCAACATCTCTTCTCAATCCTCATCTCTCGCAGCATCCTTTTGTCTCGTCCCATCAAAGTGTGACAAAGCCTTCGCGCGAGGGTTGGCGTACAGATGCTCGTGGCATTTTTCCTCATTCATACGTTTTGCTGGCAATTGTGTGCGTTACGGGCACACCTCGGCCGGGCTGGGAGGAATGATGCGCCCCTCTTACAGGAGGTTTGCGCTCACCGTGGATGCAGCAGCGGCTGGCAGGGGACAGGCAGGTGAAGTTGGGGACACCGCGGGGCTCAGGGCATGCCATTGCCCTGCCCTGTGGTTTTGGGGCTCGCCAGCTCAGGGGGATGCTCCTGACCAGCAGCGTGGTGCTGGGTGGTGCTGTGCCATGGTGCTGGGTGTGCCTTGTGCTCCAGAGTGAAGCAGAAAGATGGGAAATGTCTCTGGCAGAGCTTTCCTTCCGAGCTGTGGGAGTTTTTGCGTGGCCCATCCACACGGCGTGTCCCGATTGAGGCCCGTGGGAGCTCCCTCCTTCTCTTAATCTGCTCCAAAATCATGCCAGTCTTGAAAATTAAAGTAAAAACCACTAAAAAAGGCACAAAAGCTCCGTGCTGAGCTCCACACTTTGGTCTGCTTGACTTGGTCCAGGAGCTCCTGGGCTCTCAATGGCAGCTGGGCATCCACATTTAGCTGGCAGCTGGGAAAACATTCAGGGTGAATTTCTCCCTTCCCTCACCCTTGGAAGAACAAACAGGAGAAGAAAATAAACCATTAGAGCTCGCGAAGGGTTTCTGTTACACCATTAAGCCGTGCACAGCGTGCCTGCGGCCAGCCCTGAAGCTGTGCTCCTGTCTCCCCGTTCGCTGTCCCCTCGCTTAGGGCCGTGCACAGCTGCACATGGTGATCTGTCGCAGGCTGCAGATATTGTAAGGCTTTTATTTTCTTGCTACAAGGCCCTGGGTTCCCCTGCTGCCCGGTGCTTCGAGGCGCAGCCGTTCCGGCCGTGTGTCCGTCCCTGGCCGTCGGTCCTGGCTGGAAGCGAGCTGGGTGATGCTCTGCGCCATCAGCCCAGGCAGGATTTCGGAGGTGTTGCCTTCAAGTCTTCCCAGCTGGCTTCGTTGGAGTTAATCATCATCTGAAATCGAGTTGAGCAATTGATGTTGCTGCATCAAAACGTTTCGTTCCCTTCCCCCTCCTTCCCCCCACCTCCCCCAAAAAAGAAATTCCTGGCTTAGGCTCAAACTCCAGCTCAGTTCTCGCTGTGCGAGTGTTACACTGTGGCTCTTTTCTTTCAAGTTTCTGGATTTTTTATGGGCACAATCGGTCTGTTAACAGGACTTTTTTGTGGTTGCAATGCATTTATATCATTGACCTTTGCTTTAAAAAGTGTCTGACAGCCTTTACTGGGCTGGAGCTATGAAAAGGAGTGTTGTAAGCGGGCTTTATTCTATAGGAGCAATGACCACAGGCAAAGCTTTATATTTGCTGAGTGATTTAATTCTTGCACATGCAGAACCTGGCTCTGGGCCACATGTAACATGTTGAGAAAGGGGCTGCTTGAGAGGCATTAAAACCAAACTTTCCAAAACCGTTTTTTTTTTAAAAATAGCTTTCTTTCCTGTTATTTTTAAGCTAACGAGTGAAACCAAGGGACGCTGCCCCCAAAATGCTGCAGAGAGCTCCAGCAGAGCCATCGGGGAAGGAAACCTTTCCAAAATGACGTGGGAGGCTGCCAGCCAGAGGAACAGGAGAGGGCCACTGAAATAAAGGCCTGAAGGAGGGACAAGAGGGAATGAAACGGGGCACCCAGCCCCCTGGGGAAATCCCCCATTGGTTGTTTTTCCCTTCTTGGCTCTGCCCGTCCCCTGCCTGCTTACAGGAATATCTGCCCAGTAGTGGTCAGAAGCAAATAAAAACAGACTGCTTTTTGTTTGCTCTTGTTTTAAACACTGCGGCAGCGTTCGGATTAATGTCGGGTCTTGTGAAAAGCTTTTTAAAAGTCAGGCAGCCCGAGCTGCTCAACAGCATCCCTTTGAATTCTGCATCTGCCTGCTGCAGTCCCAGATAATGGGCTGGAGAGCAAGGAAACACCGCGCTTCTTTTTCTTGTAACCGGCCCATTAAATGGGCCTGAAATCTCGTGTTCTGAAAGTATTTAATTGTGCGGCCTGTTGGGCTGCCTGCGGTATTTTGGTGTGCCTTTGAGCATCTCCTCTTCCTTCGGCAAGTAAACGAGCGGCAGAAATACTCAATTATGGTAATTCCTCACAGAAGCAGCGTCTTCCCCAAACATCGCAGTCTCCTGCCTTTTAATTAAAAGCACCGCATCCACAGTGCGTCAGGCCTTTTAAAGCCTCGGCCTCGATTAGTTTTAATCAACACGTTTTTTTTTTTTTTCCAGGGGCTTTCAGAAGCAAATGGTGCGTTGCTCGCCCTTCCCCAGGAGGAGCGAGGGAGAACAATGGCTTATCGACTTGCAGGCACGATGAGCCCTGAAATGCGGAGTTGTAGAAGGGGGGTGAGGAGGGTTGAGAGGACAGGACAGGAGAGGAGAGGAGAGGAGGGTGCATCCTTCTGGTGCCCAGGGATGCTCCATGGTGGTACCCACACTGAGCCGCTGCTGTGGATGACCCCGTCTCCTGCAGGGGACCAAATCACATGTGTTTAGTTTTTTTTTTATTGTGGTTTCCCTGTGCACGCAGGGCTGGGTTTGCCCCAGGGCTGTTGGAGATGTGGTGAGGGATTTCTGTGCCCTGCTCGAGTGGTGGCAGCTCCTGGGAGTGCAGGAGGGAAGGGCTGCAGCTGACAGTCACTGCGCCACGGGGCTGACGGGGCCTTTTATGTGATTTCTCAGTGATTTAGGCCTAAATGCTGCTGGCGTGTGAAGTTCCTTATGAAAGCAATAGGTTAGAAGCCTCTACGTGGAGAGACTGGCAAGGAAAGCCAAGGGAACGAGGGTAGCCCTTGCCTCGTATACCCTCCTGGTGCTCCATCACAGCAACCAAGGTTAATGCGCTCGGTTTTAACGGTGCCGTGCTCTGCACGGACTCGTGCCCGAGGAAGCAGGTTGTGGTGAGCTGTGGGGGACACCTCGGGGGGACCCCTCTTGTGGTCCTCCCCTGGCTCCTTCTGGGCAGAGACCTCCTGAGCAGAGGGGTTTGCCTGGCTGAAAGCGGTGAATGGGATCCCCAAGTGCAGGTGGGTGACATCTGCCTGGGACGAAACACGAGCGGGGACACCTGAGGACACCATGCGGGTTCATGGCCATTGGGGCATCCGAGTGTCTGCAGGAGCTGGGACTGGAGGCTGTCAGAGCTTCTGGTTGATGGTTTTGGTCCGAGGCTTCCCAGGGGGCCCGATGGTTCCCGGTGCCCTGCTGGAGGCGTTGTAAGGGCGACTGGTTTTGCAGGAGCGTTCCAGACACCGGCCGTGGCTTTGCATGTGGGATGCCTCGCAGCACGCCCCGTTTCACAGCTTGTTTCTCTCCGCAGCGATGGGAAATGCCAGTGCAAGGTTGGCGTGACGGACCTCAAGTGTGACCGGTGCAGTGACGGCTACTACAGGCTCAACGAAACCACCTGCGAGCCCTGCCAGTGCAACAACCACTCCACAGCCTGCGACCGCGTAACAGGTAACACAGAAGCAGCCTTCCCCCTGTCACCACAGGGCTGGGCCTCTCTGTCTCCGTTTTTTCGTACTTCCATTCAGCAGACCTGCACTCCCACCCTGTTACCCTGTGTCTTTGTGCTTTGGTTGCTCCGGGTGTTCACCATAAACCTGGAATTAAGGTGCAGGGCAAGGCTGGAGCGAGTCCTCTTCTCCATAAAGGCTGCGGTATTTACTCCAGGCTGCAGTGCAGAGCCTTCCTCCTGCAGCCTCTATCGGAAATCAGTGTTCCATTGTTCTCCTACACAAACACCCAACACAGGCTTTTAAGGAGCTTTTGTTTAACTGCTGTTTACCTGGAAACATATACTGTACTGCCAGTGACGTCAGGTGACTATTATTGCCTCAGACAACATAATTAGTGCTGGAAAATACTGGCAGCACCTAATTAACATTGCTCACTTCTTATGGGTTTGCCCTGTTCATTTTCCGTGATCATTTCTTTGGCTGTCTCTCACTCAAATGGATGTTGGAGTGCAAATATCGAGGCACCTGTGCTTGAAGAGCTTACGGGAAGACAGGGGAAAAAAAACAAATTGCTTTCCCATCCCCGCTGGAAGGAGAAGTCCCAGAGGAGCAGCACTGTGCGACTGCCTGCGCAGCCCCTGCTTAGCAACAAAACTCACCCTGCAAAACTCCAATTCTCATCAGAACTTCCAGGAGGGAAAGCAATTCTGTAATATTTACCCAGGAGCTCAGAAAGGGGCAGTCATTTCAGAAATGCTGCAGCGGGTTTTTTTTGGTAGCTGGCAGAGAGACAGAGCTCGTCAAATATGGTATTTTGGGCAATTTTGGCATTGATGTTTGTTCCCTTGTGGCCTGTGTGTTTGCAGCACATGGACAGGCAGCCACAGGGCCGGCTGTGCCCAGGAAGCGCCCTGGTCCTGCTCAGCAGAGATGTTTTTGTGGTCGTGGGGGCTGCACTCCTCGAGGATGAATTGGTGCATTCATTCCTTACTGAATTTTGACTACAAGCTTCTGTCCTGCTCATACTGCAGGATACAAGTTGGACCTAAAGCTGTGTACACATCAGCTGTGTTGCTGATTTGGAGCTGGGCGTGTGGGTTTTGTGAAGGAGTAAGATAATCTGCTCTTCCTTCTCCTTCCCCGACGTTTCCCCCTCTCTTGATTCAAAGCCTCACTGCAGCCGTGGCCTCGGGGCTGGGGCTGCTCCGGCTGCCCTGCGACTGGGGTGCTCCAGCCCCGACCGCTGCATGGCAGAGAAAAGCCCTCATTTAGCTCAATGACCTTATTTTTTCCCCTTTTCCTCCATCTGCTTTATTTGCTGCCGGGGATGGGGGAGCCCAACAAAACCAGAATAGAACAGGCCATAAAAATGCGATCCGACGCCTCGCAAGGAACCCAGCGCGCTCAGCCTGCTCTAGAGCCTGCACTTTGTGTGACCTCCCAGCTTTACATCAACTCTGTGCAGTCTTTGTCAAATTTTCAAGGTTTTTTTTTTTTTTTTTTTTTTTTCCCTGCATTAATGCCATACTTTGGGCTCCCTCTGGCGGCTCAGCAGCCGTCCCTGCACAGCCTCGCTCAGCGTAGCTGTGCCCAGGAGGAATACTTAAAATTATTGGGCTGGAAATTGGGCAGACAGAGCTCCCCAGGCGCTTCCTTCAGCACGACCCTCGTGCCTGGAGTCGGGGCTGTGCAGCGAGTGGGGTCACATCCGCCCAGCTGGGGTACGGCCGGCTCTGATCCTTCCCCGGGGCCTTATCGGGGTGGGAAGTGCTATTAATTATTAAGGCTTTCCACATCGACACCCGATTGCTTTGCATGGCTGAGCGAGCTGCTGACTCACTGGAAACAGCCATTTTGCGGGGCTGCTGTAGATAAATGCGGGTAATTTCCCCCGACAGGAGAGATGGTCCTGAACCGACGGCGGCCGTACAGCAAACGCGGAGGTGGTCCCGGATTTACGCCACCACGGCCGCCTGCCGAGCACGGCTCGAGGCACCCTGGTGCTGCTCGGGCCCGGTGACTTTCACGAAGCAGCCGCCGCAGGGCTGCATCTGCAGAAGCAGAGAACAGAAGATGATTTCCCTTCCAACCCTGACGCCTCTCCCACAAAACCCACCGGCTCGTGTCTGACGGGCGGCCGGGCGCAGAGCAAACACTGCGGGGGAGCTGACGCCGTGCGGGTGTCCTGAGTCACCACCGGGCTGCTGCCGGCTCCGTCGTGGTGAATCAGCCTCCTCCCCAAATCGGCAGCTGCCGGGGTTTGCAGGGTTTGCTTCCCGGCCTCGGCATGAGGCTGGGCTGTGAGGATGCGCTGGGGACGCTCGGCTGCGGAGCCTTCCCCATGCAGGGAGAGGAGGAGAGGGCGTGCGGCGTGTTGGGCTTGCAGGGGAGCCAAACTGCTCCGAAATTAATGAGGAAATCTGCTGTGGGGTTTTTAACAGTTGATGTTAGCCCAATTCAGAATTTTAGACGTGGGTCGTGTGGCTAGGAGACTTTTCCATACCCCCGCAGCACTGCAGCTCAGCAAACCTCCTGTCGGTGCTCAGATATGCAGGGAATAAACCACGCTGTGCCCCCCTTGGTTTGTTGTAAGGTGGCTGTTGCCCTTTTAGAGCCTTGTACAGGGAATTCAATCAAAAAAGCATCCCTCAGGTCACTGCCACCTCGACGAGCAGCCTGCTGAATTACAGGATGTTCCTGGTGATGGATGGGCTTCTGGTTGCGGCTGCCTTTTTATAACTAGGGAGATTTTTCTTGTTCTGCTCAGGGTAATGTCGAAATGCAATTTAGAGGGCCATTAGGACACAGCCTCTTCTAAGACACAGCCTGTCGGTTTTCTGATTCAGGGGCTTCCCCGGGTAGGGGCGGGGACTCATGGGTGCCCCCGGGTCTCCTCTGTTTCTGCGGGAAGGTCAGCGCTGCTGCGGGCTGGTGCCTGTAGCAAACGGCCCTGTGATGGGGATGGGGGAGCTGCAGCCACGCTGCTGGGATGGAGCCATCAGCCCCCTGAGCAGGACGGTGGCTTTTATTTGCCCCTGGCCACCAGATTTGTGGTGTAGGATCACGAAAAGAGGGCAAAGAGCTGGAGGGACTCCTATTGAGCCTAGGGGAATTTAAGCATCAGGATCCTGGCTTGCTGTCACAGATACCAACCCAAACCCTTTGTGTTGAGGAACATTTAATATTGATATCATGTATTTACCTGCACTGACCTTTAACGGTGATGCAATGCAAACATCTCTGCTAGGGCTGCCTGCTTTTTCATGCTATGTGTGTGTGGGGAGCCAGGGGATGACCCTCAGAAGGTCAGAAGAGGCCAGGACTGGTCCCACGGTTGTGTTTTGGCCGGAGGGCATCCCAAACCACCTGTGAGCTCGGATAATTGCCGGCGCTCCAGGCCCATCCTTGCTCCAAATGTTCTGCTCCAGTTCCTGCCGCTGACCGGCTGCTTGTGCTCCTCTCCCCAGGCACCTGCCTGCACTGCCAGGGCAACACGGAGGGGAAGCACTGCGAGCTCTGCAAGGACGGCTTCTACCGAGGTGCCCGCGCCTGCCACCGCTGCCCGTGCTCCACCGTGGCATCGACCGGCACCTGCCGAATACGTAAGGCTTTGGGGTTGGGTCCCGTTCCTCTGGCAAGGAGCACAGCTCTTCTCAAGGTGCTCCATTGCATCAGCCTAGGGGGTGGGTTATAGCCCGTGAGGGTGGGATCGGGGCGTCCTGCTTGAGCAGCCCCAGGAGCCCGGTGAGGCTCGAGGCGTTTTGCTGGTGCTTGCCTTGCCCTTGTGAGAGCGAGCGTGCAGCAGAGCTGTCGGGAGCCCTTTGCTGCTGGCTGCAGCTGTGGCAGAGGCAGATCAGTCACCGCACAGCTTCCTCTGAAGAGCCTGCAGAGTTTTGCAGAGAGAAACCACCTCGCTTGTGGCAGCAGGGAGATGTGCAGGGGGTGCCCAGCAGCACCGTGCAGCCGTCCGTGCCTCCGTGAGCCTGCTTTTGGACATCTGAGTGGGACTCAAACCTGATTTCCCCATCTTCTCACTCTGTTTTGATAAAACCAAGAAAAGTCATAGCAGTAATGAACATATGTAAGACTTTTTTTTTGATATTTCCTTAATCCGTTTTGCAATCAAGCCTCCTCTGGCTTCATATAGGCCCAAAGTTCCTGCAGATTGCTGACATCCCCGATACGGTTCCAGCTGCTTCCTGAAATTGGCTGCTGGAGATGGAAGCATTCAGGAGCAATCACCCGTTCGCTTAGCAACGTGCTGAGCATGCTCTGTGAGGCTGGTACCAGGCATCAGAAACCCACAAAGCTTTTTTTTTTTTTTTTTCCTCTAGAAACAGAGGATGTAGCAGTTAAATTTTAAGCCAAAAATACACTTCTTAGAGATTAACACTCGGTGGCTGCTGATTTTTGTTGACGTGTTTTATGGTTGGGCCCCACAGAACAAATCCCCCGGCGGGTGTTTCTCCGTGAGGGGCTGTGGCACATCCCTCTTTTGTTTGCTCTCCTCCTTAGGGCCTGGTGAAGCTGCCCCAACGTGCGACAAGTGCAAAGCTGGCTACACCGGCCCCAACTGCAACCAGTGCGACAGCGGCTACTACAACTCGGACAGCATCTGCGTCACGTGTCAGTGCAACGGCAACGTGGACCCGGCGCTGTCCCCCAGCATCTGCAAGCCGGAGAGCGGGGAGTGCATCGGCTGCCTGTACCACACCGCTGGCTTCCACTGCCAGGAGTGCGAGGACGGCTACGTGCGAGACCCCGAGGGCACCAACTGCACCAGGAAAGGTAACGGGCGCTCCTCAAAGCACAGCCGAAGCTTGCCGTGCGCCTCAGATGGCTCAAGGCTGGGGAGGGCAGGCTGCTAATTGTTCCCATGGCGTTTTTGGAGCTGAGGAGGAAGCGGCTTTAAGGTCTTCCAAGGTAAACAGAGAACCCTGCTGCCTCCGAAAGGGCTGGCTCAAGATGGTGCTCAGGGAAGACTTCCCCTAGGCAGTTTCCTACGCCTCCGAAGCTCCATCCTCCGTTACCAGGAGCTGGGCATGGCCTACATTGAAACAAGCAGCAGCGATGCTCCTGACATGCTGCTTGCCCCTGGCATTCTGCAAATACCTCGACAGACAGTTTCTTTCACAGGTCAGGACAGTTTGCTGGGGAGAAATCTGTTCGTAATTTCTTTAAATGTAGGTTTTCAGATTTCCTACTGAGTGATGTGTTGGATCTCTGAGTGCCCGCTGAATTGTCCAGACGGACGGGTCCATTCACAGGACTGTCCAGTTCCCTGCAAAGGGACCTCTTCATAATAACTTTTGCCACCTCTGACGCCGTGCCATGCAGAACAAGTTTAGATACTCTTCTTGTTGCTTTTCTACATGGGGAAGCTGAAGCTGAGAGGTGAGACCCAGAGTGACAAAGCAAGTCAGTGCCAGCACTTACAGGGAGCTGCTCTGGGGTCTTCCGTCAGTTTTCAGTCCACATCCAAGACACTGCATGTAGCAGTGCAAGCTAGCTCTGGAACTTAGAGAGACTACTGCACAGTAAAACTCAGAGTAAAATGAGAGAAAATAATTCTTATGTTGCCACTTCAGTGGTTATTCGGAAGTTTTTCCACAGGGTGGATCTCCAGCTCCATGCATAGAGACGTTACCGGTGCTCTTATGCATTAGATGAGAGAGCCCAGAGTTCAGGAAAGTGTCTGGGCCCAAATTCATCCTTGTCACCAACAGAGATTTAATTCAGATCTTCCATTAGGAGCTAATGTGGTTTTCACTCCCATGCTGCTCTCAGGAGGTGCAATCACAGAGCCCTCTCTGCGGGGAGATGATCAATACAAAAAAGTTGAATGCTCATTAGCTGTAACTTCACAGTTACAGGCTGGAAGTGGCAGCTTTGTGTCGGGTCATCCATTATCTCCCTCTGCACAGCTCTGACTCTGTGCAAAGAACGACATGACCTTGCTCCATTAAAATCCATGTGGATGATTTTGCTTGTACACTTGCAGTTTGCACTCTTTGTTTTATTTTAGTGGCATCATTATGGTTGGTTCCTGATGTGGGTAAAGACCTTCCCCTTCCCTTTCAAAGGGACTGGGACCTGTGTTCATCCAGCCTTCCTGTTTCCCTGACACCTGTTTTATTCTCTTTTTATTACGCAGTTAAGAAGGCTGACTGTGTCTGTCATTGTCTCAGAAAAGGTGCTTGTGCATTACCTAGTTTTAGGATGGGATTTTCATAAAGCACCAGTGCATTTGAGTGGCCTGGTTTCGAGTAACTTCTCGAGTGAAATTCTCTCCAGATAGGCAGGGTAAAATTGTTGGGCTCAATGAAGCAGCCATGGTTGGTATGATGGGATGCTTTGGCCAGCCTGGGCAATCCTAAAACCAACCTCCCATTTCCACAGGGACCCCTCTCAAACCTGACCCTGGTTTTGATGCTTTTGAGGCTGATCGGGACAACATCCAACAAATGTTTGGGATGACCCAAGTGAGGAGTTTTGACTCTGAGGAGTGAGGAATCCTTGCCCCAAGGGTGAGGCTCAGCAGGCAGCATCGTGGCACAGCCCAGCACCGTGCTGCCCCGCACAGCACCGCTGCCTTGAGCAGCTCGCTCACGGCACGAGGCAGCAGCAGCTTTGCAGAGGCTGCGGTCGAACGGAGCAGCTGGATGCGGCGCTGCCAACAAAGCTGCCAAAGCAGCCCGTTGAGTGAGCAGCTGCTGCTCTCAAGGAGCGGGCTCAGGACATCTGGAGGGCTGGCACGGCCCTGGGGAGCGGAAACAGGCGCCCTTGGATCGGCCCAGAGCCGCGGCCCGCCGTCAGAGCGCGGCACTGTTTCCCCGTGATGTTACCGTCAGTGCCAGGAAATGTTTTCACCCCTGTCCCCCTCGCCAGTGCCTAGCTGATGCTGACTCACAAATGAAGCCCAAAAAAGTCCCGTTTCCTTGCTGGTGAATCAGCCATTGTGTCGGTTCTATTTTTTTTCTAATTATAGCTGCTGGCCGGATTTGCCAAGAATTAAGTGTTGGTGAAGGAATTTGGAAAGGATGAGTGAATTCCTCGTGCCCTTCTCCCAGAGCCGTGTCCAGGAGCCTCTTGCTCCTGTCACGTTGCTTCCTGCTGCTGCATTCTGCCCGTTATCCCGTAGAGAAATGCCTTCTGGCAGCCAGCATCCTGACCATCCTTATCAACCTCACACAGCACCTGCAGGGAAGGGAGAAGCTGCCGCAGGGAGGGACTCAGAGCAGAAGGATGATGCCTCCTCCAGAGGAGTTTCTGGGAACCTGGCAGCCCAAATTTAACCCATGGGAGCTCTCCCGAGGGCCCATGGCAGGAGATGTGCTCCATATTCACAGCTCCTGTTGCCACTGGAGATGCAGCTTTGTGCACAGTTGGTCCTTCGGAAGTGAGTCCCCTCCTCAGGCATCGTTTGTAGGCTGTGCTTTGCAGGAGGGCTGGCTCCACGCCGCACGGCACCATCAGTAGTAAATCCTGCAGCTGCAAGTGGGTTTAAGATGATGCTGCATTTCTGACAGCAGAAGGAGAAATGAAGGAGATGGGAAAGAGAGTGCAGAGTCCTGTGGAACAGTAGGTATAGAGCATGTTTTGGTTGGTTGAAGTTTCAGTTTCTGGAAGGTTCTTTTTGCTGATTCAGCTGCCTTCTGGCCCTGGTTATGCCAGCTGGGGGTTTCTGTGAAGTTTCTGTATGGCTTCATTCAAAAGCAGGACTGGGATTTTACATTCCACAGTGTAAATACTGAAACCTGGTGCAAAACACTGTGGCAGCGGAATACTGAGCTTCATTATTTTCACTTCTGAGCTCGTCCTAGGTGAGGCAGGAACAATCCCATACTGCTACCACAAATCCTACACGTAGTGTGCTGTGAGGGGTGCGTGCTCCTGGGCTCCCAGCGCCCTGCCAGCCTGGCTGCACAGCCCATGCAGACAGCGAGTGGAACTCTGCCGTCCTTAGACACAAAGTCCAAACTCCTGCTGAGCTCGGTGGAGCCCCGTTTTCATGTACTGAGTGTGAGCTGGACCAGGTGGCTTGCTATCAGCACTACCACGAGCTCATGTATCTAACACTCAGTCTTGGCTAGTGCACATACTCACCCATGTTCGGGTAGTGAACAGCCAGCCACCACCAGATTGAATGGGATCTCTGCAGTCAGCGAGCACTTAGCACACAGAATTATTTTAAAAATGCCTGTCCAACCTTGTTTGTGAGCTATTTTGAAAAAAAAAAAAAATCCAGCTTTAACAGTGTAGACTTGATTGACATAAAAACCGTTCTATAAAGGCATGTGTTTGATTCCGTCTTGTCATGTTTTTATTGTTCACTTTGTCTTTTCTTTTGTTTTGTAGAAGCCACTCTTGGCCCAGAAGCAAGAGAGTTTACAACTTCTGCTCCAAGAGAGTTTACAACTTCTGCTCCAAACGCTAGCAAGGCAACCTCATTCCCAACTGCAGTGATAAACAGCACATTGGCACCAACAACTATCCAGACTTTATTTCCTATAAGTTCCTCTGACAACAGCACCTCTGCTTTTGCAGATGTTTCTTGGACTCAGTTTAACATAATTATTTTGACAGTTATCATCATTGTTGTGGTCCTGCTAATGGGCTTTGTGGGTGCCGTCTACATGTACCGTGAGTATCAAAACAGAAAACTGAACGCTCCTTTTTGGACCATTGAACTCAAAGAGGACAACATCAGTTTTAGCAGCTACCACGATAGCATCCCCAACGCTGATGTTTCGGGGCTGCTGGAAGACGACGGGAATGAAGTGGCACCGAACGGACAGCTAACGCTGACGACTCCCATGCACAATTACAAGGCTTAGAAGAAGAAGCAATCCTCTTCCAAAGTTGGCTTGAAGAAGTTACAGGGCTTGTTGGAGGGGTGTCAGGATCCGTGCCGAGGTTCCATGCAGAGGAATTTGCTCTTCGGATACTCGTATGCTGGGCATGCTGTAGCTTGCAGGTGAACAGAAAAAAGGTGTAGTACATCTGAATTTTGGGCAATATGGTGAGTTGCGTTCGGTGTCTTGTTCTCCGTAAAGACCCACTGAGTTCACTGCTGTTAAAGACTTGATTATGCTGATCTTAAAATGTGTTATTTATAAAGAGGTGATGGGGTGGCAAAAGCCATACCCCGGGATTAATCAGAAGCTACTGTATTTCCAGCCAATCTAACACTTACGCCTGCATCCTTTAGCTTGAAAAGTAGCTTATGAATTAACAGTGGATTTTCAGGAAACAGACCTTTGTGAAGGCTTCATCTTAGTTCCTGATATGAATTTGTTTGAAAAGGAGGACAAAAAAAAAAGGGAAATGGTTGTTCACTGTACTACCAAGAGGCAAGTAGAGGAGTGAGTTGCACAACTGAACAAAAGTCACCATTGTCTGTTCCCACTAAGCTGGGAAACAGGAAAAAGTATCACAAAAATATTGGAGTTAGGGAGGAGAGTAAGCTTTTCCCTTTCTGAGTATTTATACAGGGTGATGATGCTATTAAAACATAGCAATCCGCTTTTTTTTCTAGAAGAAGTTAATGAACTTGTATAGTTTCCGTGCAAGGGAAGATGACAAGACATCTCAGGGTTGCTGTGTAAAAATAAAAGCTAGGCTTGATACCTTACCCTGATAGAAATGGCGTGTTCTGTATATAAAATGTAATATATCTTCTTGGAATTGTATTTGTAATTATTTGTAAAAAAGACAACCAACCAAAAAAACCCAACAACAAAACCATGGACCCCCTCCCCAGCCTCCCCTATTCCTCCGTCATATTTTATCATCTAGATTTTAATTGTACAGCAGTTAGTGGCATTGTTTGAAAAGAAAAACAAACCCTGAGGATTGTTTAAAATACTGTAAATTAGATGGCAATATTGTTGGAGCTGGGACTCTGGCAAACACCCCCTGCTTAAAGCTTTTCTTCTAGCGTGTCATCGAAGAACTTTCTTTTCTAGAGCAAATGTGAGTGCTCTCTACTTGCATCTGTCACATTTCCCTGTTCCTTTAGATATAAACAGCCAGCGACACCACGAGTAGGGCCTAACGGGTGTCCAGCAGTCCCATGTACCATTTTGTTACTGCTTTTAAATCTTTATACGAGCTGCAAATACACTGTTGTGGATGCATTGAGAGCCTGGTCTCGATGGCTGAGCTTTTCCTGTGTGGATGCTCATCACGCTGGGATCTCGCTGCCCTCCCTCCTGTGCCCACACGGTGCTGGGGAGGGCTGGGCGCAGCCTCGTGGCCTCTCTCGAAGGCAAAAATCTCCTGGATTTGGGTGGAAATGGTTTTCAGCTGCAGAGCTCGCACGAGGTGATCTGCACTTCCAGCCCTAAAGCTGGCAGTGCATGGGTGCTTTCAGGAACGTCACGTAGCACAAGGTGGTGGGGAATCAGCTGCCAAAAAACCTACAGGGGACTGTAGATTTTAGAGATTCCCCTAATTTTTGGGGGGAGCAGCAGAAGGAGAACAGCAAACAGGCAGCACAGCACAGAGAGGTCACTGCCACCCGCGGCACTTGTGCCTCAGGGCATGTACCGTGCCTGTGCCACGGAGCCAACAGGTCGGCCCCCCAAAAACCAACCCCATTACACCGAAGCAGGGCGTGAAACTCCTATTTCACCAAACTCGTGGCCAGCCTCAGAAGGAAAGCTGCGTTGGTGTGCGTGTGGGTGCTTTGCAGGCGCTTGGTGCTGAGGAGGAATGAAGAAGTACCTGCTCAAGGTCAGCAGGAGCTGACTGACGCATCCTCAGAGCTGGGCAAGAGGGAATATTTCTCCGTGTGAGAAATGGTAGGAAGAATGGTGGTGATTATTTATTTCTGCATGGAGCCTTTTCTTATTGTTGGAGACTTTTTTTGGGGGTGTGGGGGGAATAGGCGCTTTAAATACAGGCACAAAGATGTCATTTCTGCCTCAGAAAGTTGCTGCCTGATTTGAAGATGAGGCAGAGCAAGGAAGGAAAGTAGCCGAGGATGGCCAAGGGAAATGGTGAGAGCACAACGAGATATTGCTTACAGGCAAACATGGAAAAGCTCCTGCTGCCTGCTAGGGGCCTGGGTGAGGTTCTGTGGTTTCAGGTGATAAATCGGGCTGAAGTCACTCAGAGCAATCCTACTTTTAGGTGTAAAACAGGGGAGGAATGGAGGAGAAAATCTGCATATTGCTAATCCCTGAGTTACTCACCCAGCTTTTAAAGAGCAGAGTGGCGGCAAAAGAGAGGATTTCCCCAAAATCGGAATTGTTTGGCAGTGCTCGTTTTGTGATAGGCTTGCACTTGGTCACTTCATAGGGTGGGGAAAGGGAATTTGGGAACTGTTAGCTTCTGGGGCTAATGCGAGCAGGCAAAGTGAAGGACAGGCTGTTCACTCCAATGGTTCCAAACCATTTTAGTAGGTGCCACAAAGCGCCTCTTCCCCAGCTTTGGTAAAGCTGTAGGCTGTTTTAGGATGTGGCACTGGGACACTGCTCGTCAGATGGCGAGATGAGTGAGCAGGAAAAAAGCTGCCCGTCTCCAGCCAGCCAGACCTCCGGCTTAGGGGAACGACATTTGTAAGGGGAGATCGATGCCTCAGCAGGGAAGAACAAACAGCTTCATGTCAACTTTGATCTGAGATCAGATCCTTGCTGCCTTTCAGTCGTGCAGCCAGCCCCTGGGCACGGCAGGGGCTGAGACATCTGGTGAATGGTGCTCGGGTGAAGCCGAGCTGGTTACATCTCCCGTCAGCTTGGGTTGGACTTCTAGGGCTGGCGTGGCGATACAGACACCCCGAGCTTTCATCTTTTACCTGGCTGTGGTGCTGTCTGGCTGCAGTGGCGTGGTGTTGTGGAAAAAAGCCCTTGAAGGGATGGTACAGAAGCTGTAGAGCGTAGAGAAGGTACGATGAGGTGGGTATGGGTGGGAAGCCAGCTCTCCACACATGATCCTCGGGGCTGTGTGGTCCCTCTGGACCTGGTCTGGATGGGGTGAGTTCAGCTCCACAGTCAGATAGCTAAAGGCAAGAGGATATAATGGAGTGGTTAAAGGGCAAAAAGCAATGATGTGTCAAAGGCATGAGGCAGCCTGGCTGGCTCACAACTTAGGAGAGCATTTGGTAAGCACAGAGTGCAACAGACATCTGAAAGTATGATTGGGTTAACGCGAGCAGATGATCTTAAATCTTCCGAACCACTGTAGCTAGAAATAACTGCATGGAGCACTAGCCCTGGGGAGCTGTCAGGAGCTGTCATCCCTTGGAATGATAATTCCCTTGGACCAGGCTGAGCAAACTTAGCGCGTTGGAAGCCATTTGTGCAAGTGGAGGGGATGTATTCAGCATCCTCCAGATATCCTGGGCCAGTTAACCGCTGCTGTTCAGCGCCTCTTTCCGAAATGTTACACGCTATGTAAATGTGGCAGAAAGTTCGCACAGTCTCCTTTAAATAAAAGATATAAGATTGGATCCTAAAAATATGTTTCTCTTTCAAGTGAAGTTTGAAAATGAGCTCCCCCAGGATTCTGCTCTTTGTGTGTCAGAGGGATGGAATAAAATAAGAAAAATATGGGCCTTAAAGTTGTACTTGCTCCCAACTGAAACCCATCAGTCTTACTATACATCCAAATAAGGCGTCTCCTAAGCATATGCTATGCTTACAAATGCATTTCTAAAATGAAAAAAGTGTATGATTTGAATATATGTCAGAATTTATACAGAAGAATGTTATTTAAAATGAATAAAAATAAATGTATATAATTTGTATCTATGCCACTTGGATTTCTGCATTTGTTTTTTGTTCATTAGAGTTCAGCAGGAGTCCTTCCATGGATAGCAGTCAGAGCTGGATTGAAACCTACGGGATTGAATCTGATCTCATCCCAGTAATGACATTCGTTCCGAGAGAATTATTCCTTCATTATACCTCTGTATGTGAGATGAGAACCGTGGCCTAAAAATGTTTTTTAACATCAGATATTCATTAGTACAGCTAACGCTGTGTCAGATAATCCCTCTAAAAAATGAACCCTATGATCTCTTGTGTCTGTTTGTTAACAATTCCAGCTTTCAGCTTTCATTAAAAATGTTTGGTAGCCGGGCAGTCAACACGTATTTCCCCATTATTGTGTGTAATATTCACATAGACATATTTTGTCAGAGATCTATGCAGTCATTAAAAATGAAACTGATAGAGCAAAGCTAGAAGTTGGAAGAGGATATTATATCATCTATTTCTTCATGACCACAATGGATCTTCCAAAGATAATTGATGTTCTTCAGATGCTCTGAAATCCACAGCCGTGGATTTAGTTTTGAACATGGTTTTGGTAATGTCTGCAAAAGGAGTTATGAAAAACTTGCATTTCTTCCTCACTTTTCAATGTTAAGAAATTTTCTTATTAGATGCAGATATGAATGCTAAAGGCTAGCTTTGCCTGCTGAATGTTATATCTAACTCTGACTCCTATTAAGCAAAGAACTTGGAGGTAAGTGAGTGTTAATTAAGTGAGCACTTAAGAACTATGCATTCATTCAAACACTTAACCGAGCCAGAGCTATAAAAGCAAGGGCCACACTGGTGAAATTTCAGGGAGTTTATTGAAACCTGATTTGCATTAGCAGAACATTTGGATTCTGCGTGACTTAGCTGAGGAGGAATTTTGTTCTGAACTGTAACAGGACTGAATATAACTGAATGCTGAACTATGTCCCCGGTGTTGGGACTTGAGAACAGGCCCCAGGCTCAGCTGGTGGTGACATCTGTCCTCCTAGCGCCACTGTCAGGCTTCAGCCACAGTGCTCGGAGCAGCTGGCTGTCATAGTGCCCCCTTGGACTTTGTTGTCGACAAGATCCATACCCATACCATTGCACACTCCCTAAGTATTTTTTTCCTAGACTCCCTTTACCACTTTGTTTCTGAAGCATGAAGGATCTCAGACAGCTTTGTAAACTAAGAAAGCGCCATTCCAGCATGACTTGTTGGCACAAGGATTTTCCATAATCTCTCCAAATGTATTGCTAGCTAAGATAGGGTTAAATAACATTAAGCAGATTACCAGGAGGCAAGTTGTTAACTGCTTCTAAACAATACATTTACCCTGCACGCCCCTTACAGCACCTTAATGTTGCTGATTTTTAAACATTGGGCAGTGACCCAGGGAAGCTGGATATCTGTATGCCTTTGTCCAACAGACAACCATTGCAGGAGGTGGTAACAAGGAGGGCCCTGCTGATTTCCTTTCAAAAGGTACAATGGGACACGCACCACGGCTCTGCAGGCACAGAGGTGCTGCACCAGCACACAAGCACCGAATGATTATTACTGTATTTGTGGCTGATGGATGCCGATCTCATGGCATGCACAGCATACCAGTATCCTCCCAGTGAGTAGCCTGCACTCGTTTTATGGAGGTCTGCTTTGTAAGCACGAGGAGCCACACTGCGGATGGGCTGCCCGGACCCCGCTGCCATATGGCAGAGCTGATTTTGCAAACGACTTCAGCTGGGCAGGAGGTGAGGGCGCTGCAAAGGGGGAGCCAGTCACCTAAGGTGACAAATGACAAATGTCTCTCGTGCTGTGGGGGCGTTGAAGGGACCGAGCATCTCTTAGGCCCCTCAGAGCCCAAAATGCGAAGCATCAGGCACGTCCAACTGGAAAGGAGATGAGATTAAGAGCTCAGTGTGCTAAGCAGAGCCTGGCACCTCCTTGCTGTCTGGGGCACCGACAGCTGCTCCTCCACACACTTGTGCACATCAGATTGAGACAGGAGCAGGGCCGGGAAGCCCACCGGGACCACACGCATCCAGGGGGTGCAACCCACAGCGCCGTGCCGGCTCCCACAGGCCCAGGGCATTTTCCAGGCTTACGGCTTCTCTTCGTACTGAGGAGCCGTGGGCAGGTACAGCAAGAAAATGAAGGTAACGGGGCACCGCGACAATTTGCAATTAACAAATCCGTAAAATGGCCATGGCCCAGTGTCAGCCTGTTTCATGGCCAGTGTAATAAATGAGTCCCAAATAGGATCGCAATCAAAGTTTTAAAATTTATTAAACAAATAGAGGCAAGCAAACAGCGCTGGGTGCGCCGGGAGCCTCCGCTCCACCAAGACACACACAAGTTACATCAGGCGGCTGGTTTTTATGCTCCTAGGCTAATACATATTCATTGCTACTTCTAGAAAAGGCAGAGTTATTGTAATTGTTCCCGGGATCCGAAGGGTTCGGAGGGAGCTGCGTGAGGCACAGCCCCGTGAGGGGAGCCCGGGCTGCCCTCAGCAAAGATGGCGGCGGCTGCTGCTGCCTCCATTCCCCATAGGAACGCTCCGCTGTTCCCTGAGTAAAGATGGCAGCCGAGCAGCTCTCGGCCTTGCTTTAAAAAAGATGGCGGCTTGCTGTCCCGGCTGCTTCCCTCACTCAAGATGGCGCTCGGCCTCTGCGGCCCAGCTGGCAGCCTCCACAGCCCCCGCCCCGCTCTGCCCTCACTCAACATGGCGCCCTGCCCGCCCACCTCCAGCCGGCGCCCTCACCAAACATGGCGGCGCCCCTTTAGTTTCTACCGTGCCCAACCTTGGCTCTCCTCCGCGGCGCCTTCACCGGCTTCACCCCCTGCCGACGCAAAGATGGCGGAAGCGGTTGCGGCCGTTTGAATTCCAGCGAAGCCGCCAAAGCGGCGCACAAAGGAGCCGCGGCTGCGGCCGGCGGCGCCATGGACTCGCTGCCGGGGACAGACCCGACGCTGCCGGTGGCGTTTGAGGACAGGTAGGCGGCTGGGACCCCCGGCGGGCTCCGGGCTGAGGCGCCGGGCCTGCTGCCCCCCCCCCCATTGCCCCCCACTCTCCCCCTTCTTCTCCCTGTGGCGGGGGTCCGGGGGTCCCCCTTTTCTCGCCTCCCCTCAGCGATGTCCTCTCCCCTCGCAGCGCCTCCCAGCTGCCCGACATCTCCCGCGAGGACCCGCAGCTCGGCCCGGCCGGCAGCCGAGGTAAGGATGGGGGAAAAGCCCGGGAGGCGGCTTGGGACCGAGGGGGGGGGGGAAGTCCCGGGGCACGGCGGGCACCGAGCCCCTGAGGCAGCCCCGGGGGATTGGGGGGGTCTCCGCGGTGCCTCCCGCAGCCCCCGGTGTCACCGTCGGGGGTTTAAGGAGAAAATCGCTGCTTGAGGAGCGGCTTTGGGTGCTGTCTGTGGGGCGTCCTGTGCCCCGGGGTCAGCACCACGCAGCTCGAGTGTGCACCAGCCCTGATAAACCCCTTCCTGAGGGCAAAAAGGCAGAAAACGGGTTTAAGTTGTGTGGCTTCTTGTTGGGGGGTCTCTTTAGTGTAAAAAGCCGGTGGCTGCTGCTGCCCAGCGAGCTGCCTGTGGCCAGGTTACGGCCGTGAGCCTTGTGGGATGCTCGGTGTCCCATATCGAGAAGGCTTGGGCTGCCTCGCAAGGCTTTAATATTCCCATTTCATAGCCTCAGGGAAACTGCCTGCTGTCTGTCATTAAGTTTTCCAGTTTTACTTCAGCTCTATTTCATTAATTTGCTGTCCCAATGCCTGGGATAGATTCAACCCTTATGTTTCATCTCTTGCGTTAAAGAGCCCTTCCTATCCAGGTGGCTTCTGCTGAACAGAAGCTGTAATTGAATATATTTTTCTATTTGATGAGTATGTAATTATGTTCATTGTCCTTCAGGCTGGCAGACAATAGCTTGAAGCGCTTACTTTGAAATAAAATGGCTGAATGGTATTATTTTGAAACCTACTCTTTGTCAAGTTAGCCGTTCTTTGTTCTCTTCTGTAAATTTGAAGCATATGGTTTTGATTTCTCTGTATTCGTGCATGCATCCAGTGATGTAACTTGGCTGACTTCATCGTATAGAACAAGTAGTTAATAGGAACTGAGACAAACTTACCAGGAAGACCCGCTCGCTAACAAAAGCAAGCAAATATCAGGGGCATAGTAGTGATGCAAGACAACATGACTGTGTTCTGCATGTGCAATGTCAAGATTTAAAAACAATTTCCTGATATTCTTTGGGATTTTCTAAAGACAGATCTACATGGTTGCATAAGAATTTTGGAGGTGCTTAAATGAAATATTTTAATTCTTATGAGAGTCAGTCTGGGGCATCGACTTCTTGATATTTGAGGTGCCGTAAGTGTTGTATATAATCTCGTTCACAGGGGCTTTAAGTGGAAACAGTTACATAGCACTGTTAAATGCAGTTGCTGCAGAACACGTGTGCAGCAGAAGTTCAAGTACATATGCATTCAGAAGGCTTTACGTTTTAGAAATTGAGATGTTGCACACATCTCCTGTCCATTGTTTCCCTGAGTCTAAGGTGGAGGTCTCTTCTGTGACCTGCAAGATACTGTGAGATTTGAATTGTTTTCTGGTAGCTTAATAGGACTTCATTTCTAATATCGGTCCCTTGCAGTTGCTCCCAGGACTTGTCTTTAAAAGTCCCTTTCGGAGGCTTAACTTCAGTGTAGTTCTTGATTTAACTGGGGGATGTTGGGACTTCCTTCAGAAAGAAGCGTAGATATTAACAATGTGGTAATACTAATACTTTGTCGTTTCCAAATTGAAACCTAGCTCAGATTCCTCTGCCTGAGCTTATTCTGTTTTCTCTAACGTCTAGGGTTACCGGATGTGGCAGAAGATACGATCTCACCAACTAGAGCTCGGACCATGAAGGACTATGAAAACGTAAGCAGACTTTTAATATAAGGCTCAGTGCCGGAGTTATGGATCGAGTTCTTTGTTCATGTCAGTCAAGGCAGATCTGTTACAG